GGGGGCCCCCGCCATGGCCACCGTCCCTGTCACCCCCTCGCCGTGTCCTTCCCGGCCACCCGCAATGGGACATTGCGCCCGGCCTCCTTGCACCCGTTTCCTTGCACTCGGCCTTGGGTTTCTGCAGCATTTCCCTGCGTGCATCCCTGGGAAGGGGACCGGCCACAAAGCCACTGCTGGGGAACAGCCCTGCAGCAGGTGGCTGCAGGGATCCGGCACACGGGATCCAACAGACCCACGGGATTTTCCCACGTGGGTTTGCAGCCTCCCCAGGCTGTTCCCTCCCCTCGTCTTCCAGCCCGGGGAACCGGAGGCCGCCGGGTGCCCAACGTGCTCCAGGCTCGCGGGGAATCACGAGGCCGCAGCGGAGCCGGAGCAGGACACGTGCAGCCCCTTCATCCCACGGTCCCCCCGGATCAGCTCCCTGCAACGTTCCCAAAAGGCTCCGCTCAGGCCAGCACAGCAGCCACGAAATGCAGCTTCTGTGGGATCCAGGGTGGCAAAGATGTGGTTTTCCATTGGAAAAGCAGGTCATGTTCCCAAGGGCTTCGCAGCATGCCTGCCCAATGAGCTCCTGTTCTCGCATTTGGAGCAGCTCCTGTGGAGCTCCCATATCCATGTGCTCGGAGGCAGCGGGATGTCTCTGCAGCCTCCTGGTTTAGGACATCTTCCTATCCCGTAGGTGATGCCGGAGCAACGCTTGTTTCCATGGCAAAGAGCCGAGCTCGTCACTCCGAGCCCCAATTCTGCTGATTTCCTCCCTGTGCCACCCCTGCCCCATGAGGAAAAGGGTTTAATTCCCATAGATCGGCCCTGGCATCCCATAGATGGGAAACATGGCCGATTCCCGGGGCCAGAGCGAGCAGCATTGAGCGTCTCTGGGGACCTTTCTGCTCCGGGTGCTGAGGAATCACCCAGGGGCCCCGGTGTCCGGTCACATTGCACATGATGCGGGTGTATTTACCAGGACTTGGCTGCATCCTGATGGATTCCTGCATTCCTGATCCCAACGCTGCTTGACTCAGGGCTGAGCTGTGCCAGGGACCTCTTGGAGGGGATAAAGGTGGAGAAATGGGAAAAACAAACTTGGGAGCAACCCCTGGGCTGGAACGCAGCACCAAGAAGCCTTGGGCAGAGGCAAAACTCATCCCTATGGAAATTTATTTAAATGAATTCCTGCCTGGCCACTCAAGCTGTTCCCAGCCCCGCTTTTCCCAGGGAAAGGGGATTTTCTCTGCACGGGGCGACCCGTGGGACACGGTGGGGTTCGGCTGCATGGTGCAGTCCTGCCTCGTCCCTGTCTTTCGTGTCCCCTTGTCTGCCTTTTCCAAGGATTTCCAGGGAAATGCTGGCACCTAAGCACATGCTGACCCCAAATTCCCTCCCGCTTTCTAGCAATAGCCACCTCATCCCATTAAATATCCCTCCCCGACCTGCAGGAACCCGCAGAGCTCTGTGCTGTAACATACGCGTCGGGGCCTCACTCGTTTCTCCTCTTGGCAGGTGGCATGAGCCGAATCCCACCGGATCCAGCATCTCCCTGGCTTGCTTGGCCTTTCCGTGGAAGCTCCCAGCCCCTGGTGTGGATGCACCGCGCGGGTGCCTCTGGTTGCTGCCTCACACTCGCTGCCACCCCCGTTTTTCTGCTTTTAATAAAATTTCAAGCTGCAAACTCTGTGCAGAGCAGCCGGAGCCTGGGCGGGAGCTCCAGGTGCCTCCGGTGCCAGTGTCACCGTCCCTCACGCCCTGGCATCTCTCCGGGCTGGCTTGTCTGTCCCGGTTCCCACGGGTCCATCCAGCTCCTTTTGCATCCCTGGCTTTGACTCCCAGTGGGAAGGAGCGAGCGCATGGGGAGCCTCCATGGGGCGTCAGGGGCACCTCATGCCTGCGGGAAAATTGGAGCATCCCAATATATTTGGGGCTTCCCAGCTCTCCTGCAGCACTGAAAACCTGGATGGAGGGAGCAGCAGCTACCACGTCCTGCGGGACCAGGAGGGCTCCAGGCTCACTTTGCAGCAGCCCCGGGTGCTGGAGCATCCAAGGGTGGGCAGATCCGCATCCTCCCGCCCGCGCTCGCCCGGATGCCGGAGCACGAGCTCGATCCCAAGGCGGAGGCTGCGGGGCCGGGCAGGAGCCGGCGGGAGCGTGGCAGTTTGTTATGCTAACCGAGGGGGGCTGCATTCAGGGGACATGTCGGAGAGGTCTGAAGAGCAAGGAGTTCACAGGCCCTCTGCCTTTGTCATGCTAAAAGTGCCACGCACAAAATATATACAGGCAGCTGCTCAATGGGCTGTGAAATAGGAGCGATTTCCCCGGCAGCGCCGGGATGCGAGGCCGCCCGCACAATGCCCGGCACGGCCTTTGTGCCCGGTGGGAAAACTGCTCCGGGGGGGAACGGGCTGCCAGGTGCAGGCGTGGGGCCAGGGCTGGCCCATGGGCTGGGACCGGGATATGGCCGGGATCGGGCGCTGCCGACTCCGGCACCGCTGGGGCGGCCGCCCTTTGGGGCAGGTTTGCAGATGCTCCTTGGGGAAGGGTGGGGGGAATTCGGTCCTCAAGGGGATTTTAATGTCCCTAAGGTGGGGGTAGCTGGGATGATGCTTCCAGCATCCATCTTTCTGCTTTTCCTCTTGTTGTTGTTGTGGCAGAGCTGTAACCCACCTCTGTTGGGGGCCCTGGAGGTCCCCAAGGCCCCCTGCTTGTCTCTCGGCTGCAAAAAAGGGGGTTGGGGACACGGGGTGGGGGTCCCGTGAGGCCAAGGGAGAGGCAGGAATGGGCTGTTTGGAGGCACCGGCAGATCCAAGGAGCAAGACGGGCTGGTGCCGGGGCCTGCGAGATGGGGATGATCCTGCTGGCACCCCCGGGGGTGTCCCCAGGGCATCACGTCCTGCCCCGGCGCAGGCCGAAGCAACATCTAGCGGGAAGCATCCCGGTGCCGGGAGAGCGCGATCCGTGGCGATGCCTCGGCCTTGCTGGCCCCCCGCAGCCGGGAAGGACCCAGTGCCTGAGCCTGGGGATGCCCCCGGCCTGGGATCCCCCCGCCGGGCGAGGCCATGGATCCGTCGGGATGCTCCGCACAGGACTGCCTGCCTGCCCGCGTGCAGGGCCAAAAGGGCCTTTGAAATGCAGATACGCACCCGTGTGGGTGCACACAGACACGAGGGTGCTCTGCGCATGTTGCATACAGATATTTGCACAGTTCTTAGATGCATATAGGAATGCATAGGTATGTGCATGTGTGTATGCCCAGGCTGTCGTTTAGGGTGGTTCCCGCCGGGCCCGGCGCCGCCGGGACTCGAACCGGCCACAGGCGAGGCTCCCGCCGGGGCC